TTAGCCTCAATTTTTTTATATTCTCTGAGAAGAGAATGACATCTTCGCAGTTTCGACGGTGGAATGTGACTCACAATGGGAAGCCAATAGTTCGGTGTGGATCTAATTGTACCTAAGATCATTCGCATTGTCTGGTTTAATTGGGTATCAATAATCTTTGTATACAATATAAGGTAATAATAAATATTTGGATTAAATCCTAATTTGTCTAGGGTAAAGTAAATATTTTCAAAAATTTTCCGGTCGCTGTTGGTTGTCAATTTTAAATTCACGACAATTTCATCATCTAAAGTCACAAGTTATGTTTGCGGACATGGATGTCAAAAAATTGCATAACTGCATTTTCTGCGCAAATAAGCTAAGCAAAAATAACTTATACCTAGCTTAACATAAATAAACATTTATAATAATTAACGTATAACTAAGCAAACAACAATACAAATTATTATTATAACAGGATTGGCAAAAATAAAAATTGGAGTTTAAAAGTGCATATCTTGTTATTAGGGTCAGCTTTGTTTCAAGAAATTAGCAAAATAAGTCTAAAAATAAACATTAAGGGTTATACATGCAAGAATATTGCGAAAGTGCAAAGCAGATATGAGTAATAGACAGTTTGGCGTTCATAATGACTTCCGAACAGTAGAAAATCTTTATAGTTTCACAAATCTTGATAAAAAATGTCGAGACTAAAAAAAAAGATATTTTCGTCACATTTATGTGACTACGACTATGAACACGCTTTCAATAAAGTTAACATTATCATGGAATGTCTTAAACGAAAACCAACATGCTGTGGTAACATTAGATGAAAATAGTACGGATGTGAAACAGATTGGTAGATGTGATAGACCAGGCTGTTTACTTTCACCATTGCTATTTAATATATACTCCGAACAGTTATTTACACAAGCACTTGTGAACTGTGTAATCGCTTTAACTTTTAAATTATTTTTCAGACTTTCAAAACTTCATTATTATAATCTATAGTAAATACCTAAATTAAATTTGCTTATACCGTTTATTTACCGAGAGCGGAAGCATCTAAATTACCTCAAGGATCCAACTGCAGTTATTAATATTTCCAACTTTGACTTCAAAAGTGAGGGTTACCGAGAGCTGGTAACCTTTTCGCAATTCAACGTTCCTTTTTCTCTTTGAACGTCCAGCATACAGGGCAAAATTTTGTTTGAGTGGTTTTTTGACGAGGAAAGCCGAACAATTCCTTTGATGAATTTCAGTGATGTGATTTATTATTGGTCCTTTAATACATAAATACCTATATAATATATAAATATCTATTATATAATAGAATTTTTTGTAAACGAATTTCGAAATTTGGGATAAAGTGTAATTTTTTTGTCACATAAATATTTCTCATTCATAATCTAATGCCAAGATATATAATATTTGTGTTCTTACCATATGCATTAAGTTTTAGTTTTGTATAAGTACTTGTAATATAATACCTAAACAGATACTGTTTATTTATTTTCCAGGATAATGTAATCCTCCTAGAATCTTTTAATAACTTTTTGTTAAATACAAAATAATAAAGGTTAGCTTTGTTAATAGCATTGGTTTAAATTTATTATTTTATTTCTTTGTCTGAGCTCGTTTTCTTACGAGGGTGAACCTGATGTAAAGGTAAAGGATGATGCCCAATCAATTTTAATTTTAAAGATAATAAAAACAAATAGTATATGAATTTTGAAAAAAATCCCACCCAATCTCTTGCCAACACGAGCAATAGGGCCTAGACTATTTATGTGCATAGGTAAATAGTTTGCATGTAGATGGGTAAATAATAGTTAAAATATAAATAAATTTTGTTATCTCGACGATACAGTTATTTTCTCTGACAGTGAGAAAGACCTGCAAACTCTACTAAACACAATTTGTGATACTGAAGAACAGTTCGGTTCACAAATAAAGGTAAAGAAAACAAAAACCAAGATCTCAATTTAAAATTAAATTTATATCAAAATAGAGCAATTAAGAGTAGCCTTTTTGACATTGAGGAAATTTATGAGTAACCAAAGACTTAATCTAGAAATCCGATATCGGATGGTAAAAGTTTGTATCCACTCTATTCTTCTTTATGGCACCAAAGCTAGGACTGTTAATGTTGACTTAATGAGAAAGCTGGAAGCTTTTGAGATGTGGATTTTAAAATTTTAAAAATATCATGGACCGATCATATCACGAACAAAATGGTTTCGTAGAGAATGGGAAGAGAACTTTTGACCACCATTAAAAGGAGAAAGCATATTTGGAGCACATACTTAAAAATGGGAAGTACTAGGTGTTGCAGCTGATTATAAAGGGCAAAATCAAAGAAAAAAGGAGTCCTGGTAGAAAACAAATATCACTTATTTTAGGACTTAGACCATTAAAGCTTATACACATGCCGTATGTTATACCCCCCGTTTCGAACGCAACATAAATTGCCCCGTACACATAAATTGCTTTGCGCAGCTATGCGTGACGTTAGTTTATGGAGGAAACGTTAGAAACTAGAAGTGCTTATAGGCATTCGCAAACTTTTTTAAGTGTTAACTTCCAATTTAAAACTTTTTTAATGCATTATTTTTCTTAAACTATCATATTATGTTTACGGGGTTTTTTCCCATTAATTTTGTATAATATTATCTTTTAGTACATTTAATTCTACGCAGAGATACAAAAAGGGGACAGATATATCATTTAATGGGTAAAAAAAAATTCATAAATTAATCCTGGAAAACCCACCAGAAATTTAGCATCCAAAGTGTTTAAAATATATGAGAGTCTTATATAATTTTTATTTTATAATTACGTTGAAAACTAAAGGATAAAGTAAAAAAATTGTTTTAGATTTCCTACAGATTCATCATTGCAAAAAAGTGGATTATAGCGATGCGCCGTGAAAATTTTAAACCATCCAATAGTTCTAAAATTTGCTTTAAGCATTTCATGGTGGATTCGTTTATTACTAGGGGATGGAGTTCAAAAAAACAACTCAAAAATGATGCTGTACCCAACATTTTCGATTTTCCAAACCATTTAATTATTCAAGTTAAAACTAGTGAATTTTCAGTAAAAAAGAAACTATCTGAGACAAAACAACAGGGGAAACAACAGGGGAAAATATAAATATAACAACAAGTGAATCTACTATCATAAAAACTCCAGTAGAAATTCTAGAAGAAACTTCCTTAGAAAATTCCTTCATTGAAAAGGCGAAGACATTGTATTGGTGACTTTGTTGAACAGAAGTCATCTAACAGAGATCAGTAATATAAAGTGGTAGTAGACACATTATTTTAAAAGAAAAACAAACAAATCAAAATGTTGCAACAATAAAATAGAAGGCTTGTTAAAAAAGTTAACCATCATCATCATTATTCAATCTTCGCTTATCCACTGCTGGACATAAATCTCCCTCATAATTTTGTAATAGCTTAAAATATTTACTAGAACATCTTAAAGAAATCATATAAAAATCTAATAAAGACAATTTATTTTCATTATTGCAATAAAGGTGAGAACTTTAATACTAATGTTAATATACTTAAAAGTAAGTAAACAAATCTATTTTATTTTGTGGTCAATAAATAGATTCATATACTCAATATTTCCCCTAAAATGAAACTTCCATCCACAAGTAAAATTTCTATCCTTTAAATTTATTTTTTATTATTAAACAAGAAGAGATAGGTACACTTTCAAATTAAACATTTATTTTTACAAAATTACTTTAATTCAAAAATATACATTAGTTTCTTTGGTAAATGGTTTATCTTTCATATATTTTACAAAATATTGCAGTTTTATTAAAATTCATCTAAAATTAGGTAATTTTATTAGGGCTTTTCGAAAAATCCAATCTAACGTTAGAGTTCTTGCCATATTGTGACGTCAGTTGCGCTGAAGGTGTTTGCTTCAACGATTCGGTAAAAGTCGTGTCTATAAGTTGTAAAGGTCTAAGCTTTAGGCGATATCAGAACGCGTATATTGGAGCATTGTAAGATACATATGATACACAATACAGATGATACACATGATGTGATATTAAGGCACAGACATACTATCACACACATCCTGATAAACTAATATGGGTTGTTTTTTAAGGTAAAATAAAATAAATCTATTCTAACATTTCTAACATAATCTAACCTTTTGATTCAGAAGAGTATTTATTGTATTTGTAGTTTTATTGAAAAAAAAATACTAAAACTATTCAAATTTCTTCCGAAGGTGTGGTTTTTATATGGGTAGAAATTATGTGGTAAAAAATTAAAGCAGTAATGAAATCTAACTTTAATATCACTGTATAATTAGATAATTATAATTTGCTTGAATTTACAATTATATGATTTTTCTAATAGAGGTTGTTTTCACCCCTAAAACTTAAAAGCAACGAATATCACAAGTGAAGTTTTAAAGTGGAGGTAGGTATATCCTAAATCCAAATTTCTATGCAAATCAGTGAAAACAAGGTATTTGATGACATTGTTTTAATTATACCTAACTATTTTAGGGGTGAGATTAGAGGGTTTACTTGTAAATTTTAAACTGTTGTTTAATGTTAATTGACATTTATTCGCTTTATTAAAAGATGATATAAATCAAGTACCCGGTTTAATTTATAATTATACGATTTTTTTTCGAGGCAGTTTTCACCCCTAAAAAATTAAAAGCAACCAACGGCACAAGTCCAAAAATTAAGTGGAGGGACTAACATAAATCCAAATGGTTATGCATGTTGGTGGTGACACGGAAAATTACAGGGTATCACCGTATTTCACATTCATTTACTGGCATAATTCGATTATTTTTAGTGATAATTTCAATATTTAATCTACGTAAATCACACTGTATAAAGACGTTGAATTATATAATATCGCTGTTAAAATTATATAAAATGTACAGCATTTTCAAAAGGAGTTTTCGAAAAAATATCAAGCTAATTTTATTAAATTTAAAAATACAATACAGTGATTAGACAGTAAAATATTTTATTTATATTGAAAACCGCGGACATATCCAGAAGAATCAACTATGTCTTTCTTTTCAGTAATACCCTTGCCCTTGCCCGTGTCTCCAAATGTTTGCTTATATGTGCCAGTGTATTTTGATGTATCTGTTAGTCGATCAAGTGCTGCTGCTACTTTCATAGTTGAAGATGAAGCACCAGGAGTTGTCAGTGGTCCACAAGAAACCATCTTATTTTTTATTTTATCTACCTCCACACTTTTAGCTTAAGACACACCTAAAATATCTAAGTATCCGACTAAGTGTACACCTACATTGGAACCGTATTTCTTCGTCACGGAAGAAGTATAGGCACTATGATTTAATACCTTGAGTTTGTTTTCAATCCGACGTCGGCCGACGTCGCCCGATATCGGATCGGGAGAAATACGGTTTCAATGTAGGTATCCACTAACAGACACATCAAAATACTGGCAAAGCGCTGGCATACAAAAACAAAGATTCATGGATTCATTCATTCATCAGATTCATTCAGAAAGACATGGTTGGTTCTTTTGGATATGTCAGCGGTTTTCAATACGCTACAGAGCAGGACTGCTTCATTACTTTATTCAAAATTAAACTTTTTTATATCGCAACTGATCATCATCATTATTAGCTCTACAACCCATAGGGGGTCTTTGTCTTAAGAACAAAAAAGTTAAGTGCAAATGTATGCCACATATGTGACACATGTGGCGTGCTCCATTAGCTACCTTAAAGTATGAATCAAATTATAATTTCTGATGTTTAATAGTACCCAGTTGTAAACTTTGATACATAAATGTTCACAAACATGAAAGTTATAGCGAAAATTAAAATTTTAAATTTTCACTTTAACATCCTGTATCTTTCTTAATATCAACATTTTATCAAAGAAATTTGGCTTAAATCGTAATATTTTAAAGTGTAGAATCTACGGTTTCATTTTGTAAAATTACTTAAGGACCACCCTGTATATGATCGATTTTATCTAAATCTCGCTTTTTTTCCTTAAAATTGGTTCCACACTGTCTATCAGTCTGTTATTTATAATTGTTTGTTTATTTAAATTCACAGTCCCTAATTTTATAATTTCTTTAGCTATGCATATTTATTTAACTCTAACAAACATATATAATAGTTTAGTATAGTTAATTACAATTAAAGGCTGTCAAATATATGACACCCAATTTTATAATTTATTTAACTGTTTCTATTCAAAGTAGTATAGTGTATGTTATTGATGAAAGTAATCTTATAAGTATATGAATTTTTAAATAAATATGACCATGCCACTGGTCTATTCTTTGCATAACATTAACTGGAATCTTTCTATAAAAACGTTCTATAAAAAACTAAGTGCCAGTAACTTCAGTTCCATTAGCACCTTCTTATATTATATTTACTTATCGTGAATTCTCTTTTTAGTTAGTGTGCAAGAACCTCAGCTAAAGTGCCAATTTTATGACTAATACAACCCCGTTTAGAAAATAATGTATGAGAGAAAAACCAGTCACTGACCAGCAACTTTTTGTGCGTGAGATTGAAAAACGACCAGGTATAATAAAGTGAAAAGCTGTCTGACATGTTTACTGTTTTGGGAGTGCTTCTGTTTGCAGCAGGAGGATTTTATTTCAACCATGCAGGTATGTCGTTGTTTTTCCATATTTACTTTTAATCCGATTTGTATATAATTTTTGATTGTCTAAAATTTAATCCAAGTGATAATATTTATATATTTTGGATAAAGGAAAGGGATGTATTATTACCTGACAGTAAGCGCGGTATTTATTTGAGTGCAATAATGTCATTTTTGCTTGAAATTCATATATTGTAGTCTCTAATTGCATAATTCTTTAGTTTTAAATAAAACTCAGATAATATGTGTTTCATATTTCCTATATTCAAGTAAACATGTTTGTGGCATTGTTATGCTTTAAGCGCCTCACAATATCCTATTTAAGACTTAAGTATTAACATACCGTCCTACAGACGGTATCACTTCTCTGAATATAGAATATCTTCCTATCCTTCAATTCTCAGTGTATGCCGTTTATGTAATTATTTTAGTAGGAGTCGAAAGCAGCATGACACAATCGCTTTTAAGTTCAAATATTCTTATAGACGATTGAATTGATTGCATTTCATGAAATAAAGAGGTTTGTTCTGGTAATCCAAACAAGAAAAAAAAAAAAGAAATACCTGTGGTGTTTTTATCATTAAGAAATTGTTCAGTAGGGACAAGTCTTCTTCTTCTTTTTTATTAGTATAATAATAAATGAAAACATGCTAAAAATCAAAAGATATAGGTACTACCGTAATATTTTCTTTTATTTTTTTTTAAAACGTATCAGTCTTTTTGGCATAGTTCTTATTATGGTATATTAAATATTAGTACATTCTTCATTAGATCAAAAATAAATATTAGGGGCCAAAAAAGTTTTACTAACTTTATTACAAAGAAAAAGATAAGATTAATAAAGTCAACTTCGTTTTGAAACTTATGATTCAACAGATTATTCTGCTGTATATCTACTTTATTTTTTATTATTGAATTTCAATTTTGGTTTATTTCAGTTTTATTTTTATTTACCCCTCGTGCATACGCCTTACTCATACTAAATATTAGTATTTTAAAATTCTGCTACTTGCATCTCTAGTAAGTCATATACAATTATTTATGTTGGCAACTCTTCATTTCCGAATTCTGTCATATTAGTTTTGCTTCACAGTGATGGAAGTAACAATGTTTTTTCTGTAGTTTTCATCTATTTAAAGTAGGATTTTTGTTTCAAATGTAATTTATCACAAATCTGTACAAAAATGTGGCAGGTGTCGTAAGCAGGAATCAAATAAAGGAATAGTACACCGGCTTAAATAGACAACCTTCTCAGCTGCCCCAAGTAGAAACACTGTATATCCATTTTTTTTTTAAATAGCTTTTATTGCATTTTTGGATATGGGGTGATATTATCTACCATTTGACGAAGAAAAAAAAATAAAAAAATTTGCAGAACCACAATTTATGGTTGCTATGAAACACTGTATATCACATTCAGAATCTGTAGCTAGTGTAACGTTAACGGTGGATTCGAAAACAAAAATAAATAGTATAATTACAGCATAGGCATAACGAAAATCAAAATAAAAATAAACATGAAAAAATTAAAACAATTATTATCAAAAAACGGATTCCTATGATAATAGTTAAATGGAAATTAATGGATTGTTAAAAAGTAAAAACTTATAGTTTTAGTATAGTTAATAATGTATATTATATAGTATATAAAATGGTAGTTCACAAACGAATTACAATATTTTATTGAAGGAGAAGAGAAGAAAGGAAAAATCACAAAAAAACGAACAAAGGAAAAATACTCTACTTGAATACAAAGTACTTGATAGATGAAGACACCCCAAAAAGAACAACAACTGTCAAAACACAGCGTGAAAGACAAAGCACCGTGCACCGAGAGCGTGCTTTTTCAGCACCAAAGTATGTAAAATGCGATAAGCACCACCACTGCAAAGAATATCAGATGCTTCGTGAGCAAAAAGCAAAGTCCGCCAGCTGCAAGGGCCAACATCTGGCAAATTTCAGAGGATGCTCCAGATGTCCTATCTGGAGACGACATCAGAGAGAGCAAGCCCCATGGAGAAGGCCACAATACCAGACAAACGAACCAACGTATGTACAGGCTACAAAAACAACTCAGCAGGCTTAGAATAATACCATGTTGATCTCAAAACAATAACAAGACAAGCTAGTGAACTCAGTCAAAGAACTGGTTACCAGAATTGTCTACGAGGCAATATCTGACATCAATTTAGCACTTAACTAATGCAGGTTAACAGGGAATTAGGGAACAGGAAAAGTTTCCTGACTACTACGTATACAGGAACGATAATACAGGAAGATCAGGATGTACAGCAATCCTAATAAAGAGAGGAATCAGAATCATTAGAAACCTAAGCTCACAGCTTAACAACATGATTCTACAATAATCAGAGTACAAATAAGGCAAGAAGAATTCTGGATTATCTCTGCTAACGTAAGACCTCAAGATCAAATGATCAATAATGACCTGAAAGCGTTTCTAAACGTAAAAGAATCATCAATCATAATAAGAGACCTAAATGCAAAATCTTTAAATTGGAACGACAGAGATATAAACAGAAACAAATTTAAAGGACAACAAAATTGACCAACATCAAGAGACTTGTAAACACTGGAATAAACAACATTCAAGTGATGAACAACTATTAATAGGTAGAGAATATAGTCTTAAAGTTTAAGAATATCACACAACAAGCACTTAGGAACAGGACTACAAAAGTGGAAGTAGAAATACACATAAGAATGTTTAAAAACATCAGAATATCACAAAACTCCAGGATATAAAGGACATTATAAGAAAGAAGAACAAATCCAAGCACACAGCTAGAAGGAAAAGGTACCAGGTAAACAAATCAACTAAATAAACAGTCAAAACATTACTACTACAACAACGTAGTAAAAACTGGTAAAACCATATCCAAGATCTGAGGCAACAAGGCCCAAATATGCAAAATATTTGAAAACTACAAAGAATTACTACAAGAGATAAAAAACTTGTCAACTCCACTAAGGAAAAGCCGAGGCAATGAGTACAAATCTCATGAGCACCAAGTCTCCGAACTTGGTGAAGCTCAGAGCGGAATCTAAAGGCCCAAGTAAGCAATTTTAGTTTCGCGGACAAGTCACGCGAGGTTAACAGGAATAAAGCGAATAAAGCCAGCCTGAATTTAATTAGGTAAGATCAGATGGATATAGGAGGTAAAGTGATATTCTGGAGCATTGGTGCATGGTGGAGTGATTCCTGTTTACATACTAAAGTGTTCCATTGAATTGCTACACCCAAACGTAATTACACGGCGTGAAGTAGCGTGAAGTATTACAGGCTAAATTTAATTAAATTGATTGCTTGGTTGCTTGTGTGCTAGTTTCTTACTGACTGGAAGGTTGTGTATTAACCAGCGATATACGAGTGGATTTGTTACCATCTGATCCGAAGACAAGCTGTATCTGATAAAATTAAAAGACTGAAATACGTCTAATAGTGGCAAGTAGATAAGATGTAAATATTAGTAGTCGTATATTCTTTGTACATTATTTTATACTATCGCTTAAAGTAAAAAGTAGAAACTGTAATTTTTTTTACATGAGGGG